TATGTGCAGCTAATGGATGAAATGTTATATATTCTTATTTATCCTCTCACGATTTCCACATTTCTCTAAGAGACAGATGCTGGCTGAGTGAGTTTTCTGCTGAAACAGCTGTCTCTAATAAACAAATGACTATAAAGGAGGCATTTCATAGTCAATTGCATCAAGGAAGCAGCAGTGTGGAGTTTTTCTTCAACATGTCACTCAACTAACTTTCCAGCTCGCTATGAGAGCATATGGTTTATAGTTTACAGACCATAAACAAGATTGACTGAAAACCCAGTGAGACTGTCATACCAGAGAGACAATTCTAGTCTTAGTGTAAATGTTGGCCAACACACACAGCGATATAATGACCTCGACAAAATCCTGTTAGCTTTCTTGGAGGGATTTTAATGGCTTCACATGTGCTGTTCAGCCTGTTCACTCTGTACCTGCTGCCTCTTTCTCTCTCTCTCTCGCCGTGTAAATACCTGCCTGTAGATAATCTTGTAACAGAGTGCGTCGGTGCACCAAATGCTTAGTCTGCCATTCGCTCTAAATTTGTGCCTTTGTGAAATTGGATTCCAAATGCAATCATCTGCCGAGGTAATTCATGACAGAGTAGCCGGCCGTTACTACTCATTTGAAAGGATGCAGAGTCATTTGTGTATCATTTTGGAACAGCGCTGTATCTCTTGGAAGAGGTGAGGCCCATGGGGAGCTCGGCAAGCTTTCTACTTTGTCTGGATGCGCGGGAATGAAGGATAAGTGCCTTCCAATAACTAGTTCCAATGAGAGTGTTTAAAGCAATATTGTCAGCAAATGTCTGGCCTAGATCTGTTTAGTAATGAGCTGGATCCCCATGATTAGTCAAATCCATCACAAATGGTGCTGTTTGTATAATGTTTGCACAACACAAGCATTTTTTATATTCAGCATGGGGAGCTTTTCCAGGGAAGTCGTGTTGCTAGCAGATGGAGTCTAAATATCAAGATCAGACTGGTTATAGCACTTGCTTTGAGGCAACCTACAGCGAGTTCTTTGTCTGTCTGGGTGCTGGTTTGATGTGTTGCAGTGAAATGCTTACCTTTTTTCTTCTAATGCAGGCTGCAAGTGGATTAGTCCAGCAAAAGAGTAATTGCCCTTGCATTGTATTGACTCTATGCATGAGGGAATTCAAATCACTTTAAAGTTTCAGTTCTGTAGGATTGGAGCCAGTGCTCGAGACAAGCTGAGGTGTTTATGTGAGTTCATTTAATTTGGAGGAAGACTGCAATGGTCCTATTATTGGATTAAAGGACTGTGTGTAAATGTAATTGTGCGAATCTGCTGACGACCGAGGGAAAGATCAGAGGGAGAAGTGAATAAACAGCCCACTTTCTAGAAAATACAGTAAAAGTACGCTTGAGCCCGGCACAAAAAGCGGAGGAGTTGATCAGTGGCCGACTGCATGACTGATTGTTAGTGATGGAGGAGTCAGGCATGTGACTGTGAGATGGTTTCTATTGTTGCGCCACTATTCCTGTAGGCTACACCCCGTATTCAGCATCCTCTCAGTTTCCTCCTCATTCTTTCTCTCTAACGCGATGTAATTGGTGCACATCACAGGACGCTGTAAGGAGCTGCATTCAAAACAACACCTACACACATCAAATTGGAATTTGTCAGCGGTGCAGATATACAGTTAGTGGGTCTTATGTCTGACTGTCGAACGGCATAGTTATTATTAATTGATTGAACAGCGCTAACTTTGAGGACAAATCACAACACGAGCGCAAAAGCAGCAATAAAATAAAGATTGTCAAATTGGTTTAGTTTCTTTTTATTCATTGCTAGTGTGTTAAATTGAAGCAGGGAAATCATAGAGACAGCATGCAGTGTATTTAGCAAACAGACAATAGGAGGTCCATTTTGATTGTATTTGTAAAACTGGTTCTTGGTTTCTTTGTGTTTGCAGCAAATCACATATTTGTAGCCCTCCTGTTCTCCCCGGGTACCGGAGCAACCCATGATGTAGTTAGGAAATATTCACCTTTAAGAATACATAAACCAATTGTGCACTGTCCAAGCTATGTCTTATTATGAAGGGTTTTTACAGTAAAGTCGCACAGATGTAAACTTCGGACACACAAGAACAAGTTGTGACAAACAATACCCCGCTTGGTATCGCTGGAAAGTAGAAATTCCGAGCTTTCTTATGTACCAGAACGTACCTCGCACAACACGCAGCGGCTGTTGTCAATGGGGGATATGAGGTTAAACTTTGAAATGTCAAACGTCACATTTTACCACCACACTGACAAAAACCTATCTTCTTGTGAAAGTACTTCACCAAGGACTAAAGCTATTTTGACCCACAACATCAGAGTTTAGTTACTTACATGCCTGGAGTGATTTTAATCCACCATTAAGCCACAAAATCGTCTGGGATAGGAGCAAGGCGCCATTGGCTGAAACTACTTTCACTTTCAGCCGACTGGTTCTTAAAGCTACGCGATACCTTTGCCTTCTCCATTTATCTACCTGTACAGCTACCTGTATATCATTGTGTTTATTGCTATTTCAATGTTTTTGAAAAAAGATAGGGCTAGGGGTAAGAAGGTTAAGGTGTTATAGACATTATGGCTAATAAAGATTTAAAAATGTCCCCTTAATTATCAACTTTGTTGTAGTATTATTTAAATTTCAACTTTTAAATGTTTAGCTATGTTTTTGTTTTTTTACAAAGGCTAGTCATTACAGAAAATGGCAATGTTTACAGAGAATGTACAGTATAGCAGAGTAACACTGAAACACACCATTTCTAATCTCTCTAAATAAGACCACTGATCAGAACTGATTGCTTAGATTTTGTGAATGAGGCCTCTTATTCTCCACAAATATCCCACTGAATGTCTGAGAGAATGACCATGTTGATGTATGTTGTCCCATGTGCATCTCCCTCTCCAATCTGCTCATTCATTCTCAGTGAAAGACAACAGTGCAAGATAAACACATACTCAAACATCATTTTTATTCTCCAAATATACAGAGCAAAAGCATCATAGATTCACAGACCAGTACAGTTAAAATACAACCATTTTTCTTTTTTTTTCTTAGATACAGAGGACCACTGACTGAAAATAGTGGTTTACCCAGAAAATTTACATGTTGTCTTTTCATTACAATAATGCTTATGGTTCACTATTTATACAAACTCTCGAAATGACCGTGTACCTTTTCAGACCTGGATCATGTAGTATTTGCAAACTAGTTTGCCTTATCTAGAGTGCAGAACCATTCGACCAATCAGAGAGAAGCATGCTCATTTGACTTCCAAATGCTTTACTGTGATTCTTTCAATCTTCTGTGACTTATCGTACACTGTATGCTGCACACCAACACCACACAGACTCCTGGCGTGCCCTGCAGGCTCAAGCAAACACTGAGGATTATTTGCAAATACTATTTAGTCCAGGCCCCTTTTCCTTTCCTTAGTTGTATGTTATTAAAGTACTAACAAGGTATTGATTGGTAGAAAAGCAAAGAAGTGAGAGAGAAAGAGAGGAACAGAGTGATATAAAGCATTTACACAGTAAAGAAAGGGATATTATAATCAATTCAATGTTTCAAATGGCATCTTCCCTAGTGTGTTCCATCATGGACAGTAACATTTATCTTTTAGTACAATGAGAGAGACTTCAAATAGCCTCATGGAAACCACCCTTTGCAGGCATTGGTTGATATATTGGCAGTACTAATATTCAGCATTTCTTTATCCATTTTTTCCCCCAGTTTATTCAGACCAAGCTAAAAGTTTGGTGCCATAAACAAATGTAGCCAGTGGGCAGAGAAGCCATTACAAACACCTATACCAACAAGTTTTCACCTCACACCGCTCATAACCTCCGTCTCTGCAGGCCAGTCTTTAGCATCTCTGAATAATATAGACTACCCTGCATCCTCCACTCTGAAAAGGTTGCTTTCTTTTTATCAGGAAAGGGCAGCAGCCCCTTGCAATTGTTCTGGTCTTTGTGTTTATTCATCTGTTATGCCCTGGCATCTGTGCGGTGCTTGTGGCCAGGCAAGCAGGCGCAGCCAGCACCAGCCGGAGTGGCGTCCACAGGTGAGCAGGGCAGACCTTGTCCCCCACATGGGCTGTGATTCCCAAAGACTGACACGGCCCTCGCATTCTGTGGCACTCGCGTGCCCACTGTAGCTGCTGCCATTGGGGGGATGGGACAGAAGGCTGGCCTATCAAATATTTATCTGTTTGCTGTGCAGTGTGCAGATTCTCTGGACTGGGAAAATGCATTATGTTTGGATCAGTGCGGGAGTGGCATCAGATAAGTAGAACTGGAGCGGATGGTACATTTGTTTTGTTTTGAGGGAGAGACATGCTGAATGTCTGAAAGTTTTGGAAGGTGAACATGTTTGAATTCATAAGCTGTGGTTGTAAGATGATACATAAAATATGCAAAAATAAAAAAAATAAAACTCTATCCTGTCCTGTTCAAAGTAGATCACACTGTAATTGACTCCTGCCAATATCAAGGTACGAATTTGATACTGCACTCATAACTGCTGAGTAAAATATATTTAAAATTGGCAGAGGCCAACTTGACAGTCATCATGGTGCCACATGCAATATATTGCTGTGCATCTGGGGCATCACTCAGAAGGGCTGAAGGTATAATAACCTCTTACTGCATCTCACTTCAAAGCTGTCCCAGCTAAGCTCAGCTTCTCATCCTATAGCCTCCCGTGTGCTCGGTGTACAGATTGTGAGTTTTCCCCTGTGAGATCTGTGGGGAAGAGAAACTGCTCACACAAGCCTTTCATGGAATTTATGAGAAACAAGTAAGGTTGATGACATTTTTGGAAGGTAAACAAAGAAAAATATTGTCTGCCGTACAGTTTTGATGCCATGTGGATTGGTGGAGCTCTAATATACTGAAATCTGACTGAGAGAGAGAAAGAAAAGCCAGGAAAAATGATATACAAGACAGCATTAGAGATTTATATACAGTCTGCTCAGTGCCAAACTGGATTATCAGCGTTGAAACAGAGCTTTTTGTCTTAAGCTGTACAATGGGCGCCAATCCATTTGTAAAATTAGAGTCCGAAACCACTGCCACTCAAGTGGAAACGCCATTCAAATGCCCTGAATATAATCAAACATAAAGTGCTTACAACAACTTGCTTTTGTTGGAAATGCTGTGCCTGTTTTCTTATAGTTTGTTTCTGGCTTACTTCATCCTAGTTGACTGCTCCGCAAATTCGATATACTGAAAAAACAACCTAATTAGATAAGACATATTGTAACCTAGTATACTTTCGGTCGCATTTTTGTTTGATTTGACAAAACAGAAGTGACACTGACATTGCGAGCCACTCTTTTCAGTAGCAATCTGCTGTTATTTTCCAGGAACTCCTCTTTACCCCTCAAAGAACTGATCGAATAACAAACAAGCTGATTCTATAAAGCATGGCTGGAAAATTACGCTTTTGATGGCTAAAATCAAATAGGACATCAAGTATTATGTAACCGCGGCTGTAACAGAAATGATTTATGTTTACCTATTAAAGGGCCTGCTTTAACACAGCTTCAGCAGACAACAAATCTTATTTTGAGGTCCAAAGTTAACTTGGCATAGTGCCGTGTGTGGTCCCATTTGAGAATAAAGACATATTTTTCTCCAATTGCCTTACAGTATCTGCACTGCGCAAACATCTGCATTAGGATTCCCGGTTTTCAGTACTGCAAAAAAAGCAACACTGCCCAGTCTTTGTTTCTGCCACCAAACATGCTCGATGCACGACATCAACACTCTGGACAACAAGCTGACTTCGAAATTCTACGTCAAGTATGAGCATTTGTGTGGTGAAATCACTACTGTCTCTACTCTCGACCAAAACAAATACCGTGTCAGTGATTAAATCATCAATGCAATTTAATTCATGTCACATACAGTGCAGAACGGAACAAAATAAAAGGATGCACTTGAAACGAGTCTGTGTAACACCATCAGCTCCACAGTAGCCCAAAAAGAAAAGAAAAAGAAAAGCAGAGAGCGAAATAGAACACATTTTCTAAATGCTCTACATATCCCTTGATGACCGGCATGATCACAGGTAGGTATACAGTCAGGGTGCACTAAGCTCCAGTGTCAACAGTGATGTTGACAATATCAATTGGATAACCACACAATAAGAAGCTCAGCTAAAATATAATGTTTACATTTCATTCAACAGGTACCCGCGAGTATTCGCTGATGATCTGCGGCGTTAGCGGGAGGACCTCACAAGTACAACGCATGTTGCAGTTTGTGGGCTTTCCTGCACCGCGCCTTGGAACTGGATTCGGTGCGGTAGTGCCATGGAGGATGCCTCTGCCTATCAGCAGAGGCGCTGACAGCGTGTGTGTGTGTGTATCTCGCTTAGTCAAAGTTTGTATTGACACAGATCAAACAGACCCTCAAGGCAAAGTAGATATGGACAAGAAGAGGCGCTCATGTCTCATTTAGAGTCCTCCATGAGGGAAATCAGAGTCAGAAATTAGATGCTAGAAAAGAAATTACAGTCACGTATATACACTGATATTTTTTTTTTTTTGTGTCACAGTAAAATAATGACTCAGGGATTTAAAATGAGATCTCAGCCCCTCTTTATCTGTCCAGCTCTGTGGCCCAGATACTGCTGCAGAGAGGAAAAAAACAAAAAGAGTTGCTCTTTTAAAACGTTGAAGACGTCTGTGGGCACATGGAGAAAGTTTTCTACCACCCACACAGGAGATGGGTTTCAACAAGCCAAGCCTGACATACTGTGTTTGAACGGAAGGTGGGGAGAGGAAAGAGTTATTGCTTTAACAACCAAAAACCACATGCACATTCATTGTTGTGCTTCAATCTACCAGAGAGCAGCAGGACATTGGCTCGCACTCATTATCATGACGTTCGTACTGAGTGCAGTCGCAACTTCAATCTCAGTTTTTCTGAATGACAATCTTCAAAAGGCAAAAATGGTCTTTGCCAGGAGAGCTGATTGTCACACAAGGCATTTTTTCATATTCCTGCCCTCTGCTAGCGATTGCACTGCAGAAACCGAGTATTGAATGTTCAAACTCAAAACTACTGCTGTCTCTGTGTTGGCAAATAACCTCTCTGTGGCACAATTCTGATTATGGGCTAAAATAAAGGAGGTGGCTGATGAGTTAAGCATGAGGGAAATATAAGGCTTCTTGATCCACTTTTTGGGACATTGAGAAGTCTGAACCAGTCCCACGGTGTATTAAAGCCAACCGGCCCCGGCATCTCCAGGTGTCCAGAGGAGACAGTAACGTTGTTACTTTAGTGGCTCGTGGGAGCTGATCCTATCACAGTTTTACAATCCCGGCTGCTTGTTACACCCCGTTCAAACACTCTCCCTCTCCTGGTGGTCAGACGTGGGTCTGCATGCGCTTCTGGAGCGGCCGGGTGAGGTCTGAGTTCTGCGAGGAGGACTGGGAATAGTGGGAGGAGGAGGAGGCCGACGCCTTGCTGTCTTTGTCGAACTGCACGTAGCCTTCCGGCTTACTGTAGCTGCTGACGCTGCTGTCACACTGTGTGTCGATAAAAGAGCTGGAGTCGCTGAGCGAGCCGCGTTGGAACTCCCGCTCGCACAGCTCGATAGAGCTGCTGCCCATGCCCAGCACGAAGCGTTGGCTGTAGTCATAGAGACGGTTGGGACCTGCTCCCAGAGTGGAGTAGATGTTGGTGAAGGACATGCCCGTTGGCACCCGCTGCTTGCCCAGGGTACCTGTGTTGGTGGGGTTCCTCACTTCAGTAGACTGAGTCCCAGCCATGGTCGGCGTGTGGTGCTCCTTAAAGGTATTGACGCTGTAGTAGCCATTTGTAGGGTCCTATTGAAAACCCAGGAAAAAAAGACTATTATTACATAATTGTTTTATATTTTACATTTTTTTCTAGGCTATAGCTAATAGCTAATTAAAAAAGGACAAAGAGGGGAAAAAGAAAAACACCCTCTTGGTAATGTGCATTTACGTGTTATTTTCTCAAGGCGCAATAGGGGCCAAGGTCAAACCGGCAGTAATTACCTTTCCAAATTCTGAATAAATAGGAAGACAGGCGGAGCAAAAAAACAGTGGCGAAGCTTAGTGCTAGGATTTACTCAGCCCCCACGCTAACCTTAAAATCATGTTTCTCGTTAATTAGGCGGGCCTTGATGATTCATAGTTGGGCATCCAACGTGTCACTGCAAAGTTCACGCACACACCAGCTTTAATTGGACCTGAACGAATTGTAGTGTCTATGATTTCATGTTTGCACTGAAATGGCTTCTGAGGCTACAGCTGTGCTGTTTGTCTGCTAAGCTGCAGGCACCGTGCTGTTGCTAAGGGTCCATTTAGAGCATGAGTGTTGTCATGTTCTCTTGTGAATGTATGTGAATGTCAAGCATAGTGAGCATGGTGGCAAATCCCAAAGGAAGAATGCTCATAATGGGGAAATGAGAGAGAGAGAACCTGAGAGGATTCTCGTTATGCTCGTCATTATCAGACCGAAGACAGGGAGATTGTTTGTGTCTGGCCTTCATCTCTTGTTCAGTCCCCCCTCTGCTCTCGCCTGTCGCTGTCATTAACTAGGATCAAAAAATCCAGCCCCAGAGGGAGCAGGTAAGCACGCAAACAGAAGCACACTCCAGGGAGCCAACGGACAAAAGGACTAATGAACAGGCCAGCATTTGCTTCCGTGGCACTGATTAGCTCCGGTATGTTGCAGAGTCTGAATGGACATGTCAGGTCAGAATGGTGATATCATCTTTGTTGAATATAAACTGCAGTGTGAGCATTCATCGACAGTGCTGCAGGCAACAATGCAGGTCATAGGTGGAATAAACACCCACTGAGAAAATCCACCGTGCTTGATTTTCAAATGCATTTACATAGAAAGCACCAAGGGTCTTCTTAAGGGATAGCAAACACTTTCACATATTGGAATAACTTTAGCAGCAACTTGTACATTGTCATTATTTCTCTTGCAAAAGAGCAGGATGTGGAAACACATTACAGTGAGGTTTTTTTGATGTATATAAGGTTTAAAGACAGACCGCAGTGTATTTCTGATGTATTTCGGAAGTGTTTTGACAGGTCACAGTGACCTTTGACAGATCACCCTTGAGTCCAAGTGGACGTCTGTGACGTCCCACCCGAGGTTCCTTAGATATTGTGTTCGAAAGAATGAACTGGACAGGCCAAGCCGAAAACATAATACTTGACATCGGCACAAAGAATTGTGTAACAGCTGCAAAAAATGAATCATTTACTACTTTCAATAGAACCTTGTACAGTAGTAATCTATAGTCATTGTAATTGTACAGGTTGCTTTATAAAAGTAGATTGATGCACACAAGGTGTCCTTTATATGAGTTAAAAGGGGCTTTAAACACGAATCTACAATCTGCCAAATTGCATGCGTATCATTTATTGGTACAAGTGGCAAAGGGCTCTTTCATGTGCAATGGGAGAACTGAATGCAAAGTGCCTCATCTGTACAGACTGATCCATTCATTGCCATGTAAATGGGGAGACAGCTATAAATAGCAGTAGAGTCAGTTTTATTATGGTCTATTCATTGAATCCTGGCGTCACATAATAAGACCCATTTAGTTGAATCTGACCACCATTTTAGTCTTTTTTTCAATGCAAAGAACCGAAAGGCTCCGAAAGGTTTATGGAGCAGGACTATTGATATCAAAGGATGTCAACACAGAGCGGATGTCACTGATAAAAGAGTAGATGGAGTATCTATGGGGTCAGACTCATATATAGAGTTTCTGAATATAGCAGTGTCGTCGTTTGTTACCGGTCCCCAGAGGGGTCGAAGCTGGGCTCTGACTCACACTTTGTGTACTCGCTTTGTCTCACATGCTGATAGAACATGTGTTGGTGCCAGCTGCATACTGGGGCTGGTTGTTAAGACTACATCATTGAGATTAACACAGTGACCCAAAGGGGTTAACATAGCAAGATGAGCCTCTTATTGAATTTCTTCAGGTTAGTAAATAATATGTTGCCAACTAGAGCGTTTACCCTCAACGGTTTGTCTTTGTGTTGTCTCCTGAGACTCAACTTTCCTCCTTTCTCCTTATATATATATATAT